TTTTTTCTCAAGATGTTTTTTTAAGATCATGATAATATTTCGTTTCAGATTGCGTACTATTTGACTTTGAATCGGGAAAACTCGACGGTTGGACCCTGACAGGAACAGCATTCACATATCAGCCAACCTATGGAGATAATGCMCTTTTRCGAARCMAKRGAACATCAAAKCTYAAAGGAGACTGGTACATAGGAACATACGAGAAAAGACACAGCCCTTCTGATCCATACGGAACACAAGGTAATTCACCTACTGGTACTGCGACCTCTCCGCCTTTTGTAATTCGAGGGAAAAAAWTAAGGTTTCTGATGGCTGGGGGAGCCGGAAGCAGTCGCGGCCGTTTCGAGTTGCTTATCAGCGGATCAGTCGTCAGAACTGAAATCAACACAGCAAGCACCAATGGCATGACACAAAGAGAGTTCGATGTGTCATCTTTCAGAGGACAGGAAGCCCAAGTTCGAATCGTCGATGGTTCGTCAGGCTATTGGGGTATGATCTGTGTTGATCACATTGAGGACAGTTATTGCACGGATTAAATTTTACAATATTCACGACTTCCAAAAATGGCGCGATATCTCACGGTCGCCGACCAGAGTACTGGGGACGAAACACTTAAACTTCGGTGATGTCTAGAAATAGTTTTATGTTATAGATAGTATACAAACACATCTGTCAAACTCTACTCAGACGAAGATTTAACGTCAGAAACGTCAGTAAGTTATTTCACTATTTCACTTTTTTACGGTGCTAAATTTATCTTTTTACACAACTGTTTCTTTAGAAACACTGACGCAGCTCACACTAGTTTACCGCTAGTTCCCACCATTTTGACACTGCATACATGCGGTCTTAGTGGTGTTTTTTAGATGTAAGGTCTTGGAGGTCTCGTTTCCATGATTTGCCACTAGCCCACCGATATTGACGGTCGTGAACGACTGCCATTTTTGAAAGTCGTGAATAGTGTCGTTCATGTTGAAAGGTAACCGTGTTTTTGCATTAAGAGGACCAGTGAGCATGCGCCTAGACAGGGGAGTGATGAGAGTGTTCCAGCTGTTGAATTCTTCGCAATTGTATTACCTATTGATTTGGCGAATTAAGACCCGGTTTATTCGTCGAGCCAGCGTCGTGCCGAAGCAAATAGTCATTTGTATACATTCAATACATTCGGTACGGCGTTGATTCATACGTCGAACTAAATGCAGTCAAAAGCATAAGAAAAGGTCCGATAAAACGCAAATTACACCATTTTTATTGTCGAAAACAGATATTTTTGTGAGTTATGTTCGGCACGACGATAGTTCGAAGTATGAATCAGTGTCGAGCTTTTGGAAGTGATTCCTGATTTATTTTCGCCAGAGTTWTTTTTAGGTGGGCGGAGGGAAGGGGGTGATCAATATACTTGSCAATAATTCATTAATTCATATCCTAGCAACGTGGTTCATAAGAAATTTAGCACCATGCTYACATCTACTTAACAATTAGTAATTTCAGTTAAATCCAAGTGTTCATTCAAAAGGTGTTGAATGGGTGMAAAATAATAGGTTCTGATTTCTATTTCCCCTACCCCTCCCTCTCCAACTTCAGTGTTTCCCAGTGCATTTGCCTGATATTCAAACTGCCGAGGAATTTGTGCAGTAAACAGATCTTGAAACGCTAATCAACAAGAATTCTCCAATACTTTATTTATTTATACACAGTTACTCTCAGTAGAGTGCAAGTCACATAAGCATGAAACAATCCTTAACTATGTAGTGCTAAATAAGATTTAGTTATCATCTAACTAAGAATTGAGAACAATGCTACAAAGGAATTTAAATAATTGGCATTGTGTTTATGCTTTGTTGAATTCTTAGTTTGTTGATAACTAAATCTTATTTAGCAATACATATTAAGAATTGTTTCAYGCTTATGTGACGTGCACTCTATAATAACATTTCTCAGTATAATAACGTTCATTAATAATCTAAACAAAATATTTGAAGAGTCATTTTCATCCGTCTATGAAACAATTAYTATTGACTAGCTAGACTATTAGGGTGTAGTAGGMTACCAAAAGGCAAAATCAAAACGGTGTTTGCCTAATTTAATTATAGTTTGTCGCATGTCAAAARTYAAACTATTGGGAACTAGAGTGGTTTTCATTAACCCGTGAAACACACTTTAGCGTATTACACTTTATTACACTTTGTCTCTTTTTGTCACGGGTTAATGAGAACCACTCTAATATGGGGTAATAGTATTTAAAAAATACTATTAAAATAGTACAACTCCTATTTCACAGACGGATGAAAATGACTCTAAAGAATGCTATTATTGGTACAATAAGCAAGTATTTAATTAATATATATGTAAAATAAAAACTGATTTTCACAGTGCCTTTTGTGATCCAAGATTAATTGAAAAGATTAAAAAGAATAATGGKAAATAGTGAATATTCGATAACGAATAGATTAATATTCAAAAATCATTCTTTGAGAAAATACAAATGTTAGAATTTTACAAAGTTGAGTGAATCACATATCTCAGCAGTCATTTTTGACTTTGATGTCGAATGTCAATACTCCAGTTTCGAATTCTCTAATGCTCTGTGTTAACCTCATTTGTGCGCAAAATATTCTTTATTGTGAGCGTAAAGGTGTGAGATTTCAAATCAAATTTATTGTCTTTCTTCACAAAATTCCATGCGTTTTCTCGGGCTATCAATGAAACAAAAGAATKTGTTACTTGGTTTTGAGGCTAACACAGAGCAAACCAGAACTCGAAATTGGAGTATTGTCGAACGGCGATTGCACGACCGAAAGTAGACATGGGTTTCGCTTGGTGGAATGAAATAACAACTGATTTGTACTGTAATATAGTCTGTGGTAAACATTGGCTCCATTTAGTCTCCACAGAAACCTATAAGGGACTTGAAACGAGTAACGTCGTTCCAACCGTTGAAATATCCAAATCCAATTTGCATCTCATTTCCTTATTTGGAACAATTAAATTTACCCTAAATCCAACMAGAACGGGCCTTAAATCTCTTATCCAACGGCCGAATTTTCCAAATATGGTCATACGTTCGTTTTCGAATCTTAAATGAGCTTTGAATATTCTGACTTTTGGTACTAAAGAAATGTACGGGCGTTACACGTTTGAAGTCCCTTATAGGTTTCTGGTCTCCATTACTATGTAAGGTTAATCCAATATGTGAAATTTTGTTTATCAAAACAGTGTAACCATAGTCCCTTTCGGCCGTGCAATCTCTCTTCGGCAATCGCAGTTTGCCGCTCTCCCCGACAAAGTTTTTTGAAATATCTGTATTCCAGTGGTCATTTTGACTTTGGTTGACAAAACGTTTTTGCYGGTAGCTTTATTGAAAGAWCTATTAGCAACCCCGATACAATGCCTTTGAAAAACGCGCGAGCAAACGTTTCAATAAAATGAGACAATCCAAAAATTCTTCCAGAGAGAATAATAACATTTATTGCTAATCTAGACAAACAATAGGAGAAATCTTCATTAAAAATTTTTAAGAAAGTGTAGAAGGAAAGGTTCTCTCTAAACCCGGCTTTCTTTTATCAAATCAAGCAACCAAGAGTACTAAAGAATGCTGTTTCAAGTGCGTACAAAACAAGGAATGCTTGTCAGTGAACACCATAGTTTTTGATCAATCGCGATGTCAGTTAGGCTCAGTCTCCAGCCGTCGGGATTTCGTGCGCCCGCGATACTCTCTCCCCTGACGGCTGGSCGCATGGGGTTCAAAACGTGTCGCGCATGTCCGTGACGTTTTCGTGTAATTAGCATATTATGACGTAACGGAAGTGAATTTTTCAGTGAACGGAAGTGAAATATCTGACAACAGCCGTAATGGTTTTGCTACAAGGCGGGAAATTATGTGAAATGAAAACTTCGCGAAGTAGCGATATAATGTAATAGTTAGCGCTTTAAAAAAGAGAAAGGAATGGAAATTACCCCAAGTAAAACATGTGCAGGGTTTAATAATCCAAATGGATGTATTATCTGCTAGAAAAATGAGCAAAATACACTAGTGGCGCTGTTTGAAAAATAAGAGATTTKCCCGAGCCAGTATAGGAAGAATAACAAGGACATCTTTTCCAAGAACAATCTCTTTAAGAGCCTTTTGCTGTATTTCTCTAAATTCGTCCAAGCTAAACGACTTCAGAGCCTTCAAACAAGCACTTTCAAAGAGAATCTCAAACGACTAATTGTACGCCATTTTGTTACACTGCTGCCTGCTAATTTATTAATGATATGCCCCTCAAAATATCGGGGGCCACTCGCTGWTTGGTCAAGACTGACAATAGCGARCCTCMTGCGCCCAGCCGTCAGGGGAGAGAGTATCGCGGGCGCACGAAATCCCGACGGCTGGAGACTGAGACTAGATGTCAGTGTGAGCTTCTAAACTTGGCAGGGACGGAATTTGAGAACCATCTTGTACCAAAAGAAAGAAAATATCAATAAACATATCACAAAGTTGCCTCAAAAAGCTGTCCTTCGTTTAGAAGCCACATATGTTAATCCTACCTAATTTGGAAGTACGTTTGGACTGGATTCGCTAAAGAAAACCCAAAGCTACAATGCACAGGGATCCCGCACGAATTAGATACAATTCAGTTTAGTCCTTTTTATTAAAGAGCATATGACATGAAATCACTTTTTTGGCAGTCAAAAGAGTATTATTTAAAAACTCGTAATTTCAAATTTGAGAGAATTCTGAAAATAAAATTCTGAGTGATGATGATGATCCAAAGATCGGAATTTTTACTTCCTTGGTCTTTTCCGCCGCGCGACCAAACTGGTGTGAAAATATTAGTATAAATTTTATAAATATGTCTGAATTGTACAGAATTGTGCCAACTCCTTTGTTTTCTATTTTCTAATCTATGCTTGAACTCTTTTGATGTTAATAATTTTTGACTATAGATGCATCTATTGATTGTTGGCAAAAATTACGTGAAATATGTTGAAAGTGGGTTAACTAGCAAGTCTAGCAATTACAATGTGCAAACGTTGTCCTCGATGTGATCAACATTGATAAAACCCCAAATACCTGAGGAGACGTCAACGATTCGAACACGAGCTAACTGGCCTCTTCGTGATGACACATCGAACTCTCTCTGTTTCATTCCATSAAGATTTTCTAGGTTGGTTGCCTTAGCAACGACCGATCCACTGACGTCAACCAACTCAAGCCGCTCGCTGTCCATGGAGCCTCCACTCATCAGAAACCTTAGCTTTGTTCCTCGGATTTTAAATGGTGGAGAAGTCGCAGTGCCGGTTGGTGGATCACCTTGTGCTGCAACTGGATGAGAAGGACTGGGTCTTTTCTCGTATGTCCCTATGAACCATTTTCCTCTGAGGTTCGATGYTCCTTGGCCTCGTATCCGGGAATTATCGCCATAAGTTGGCTGATATTTGAATGCTGTTCCTKTAAGGGTCCAGCCGTCGAGTTGTCCAGATTCAAAGTCAAATAGTAGGCACTCTGGAAAGAAAAAGCCATCATGTTTTTTCGAAGTTTAGCAATAYTGTCTTATTATCAGTTTTGTCAACAAAGTTATACTTTCTTTTAAGTATTCCAATTTCAAGTTTTTATCTTTATAAAGTACACGACTTGAGATTTTATTTGGTAAAAATAGCACCACAAAACACAGTGACCAAGAATAACAAAAAATAAACACAAACATAATTTATATAGTTGCAATGAAATGATTGGGTGCAGAAATAAAACCGAGCAAACTCCATTTAAAATTTCCCTATATCAAAGATCAATAAAATAGTGAGTCCGCTTATCAAATGTTGAAAAACKTTGGTTACTATACTTTMCTTTTTCATGGATTSAAGAAAACTTCATGATTGCTACGAAATGGATAATTTTTTATTGAATTTAAAGAAATTTGAATTTTGATTGGTCAACGTTTATCTATTGAAACAGTTTTCAAATAACGTCTACCTCAAGGATGTATTTTATCAATTAACAAGGGTATWTGATCTGCAGGGCAAAATCATAAAGTGTCTACGACATTTATATAACCCTTTTTATAAACGATATTTTTTGATAATCTGTAGCTAGCGGGAAGGAAGCTCTTAGTTCCACCCCACTAAGCTAAGAATAAGCAACCACGACCTAGAAATTGAAAAAGGTCGATATTCAGGTGGTTATAAAAAGGTAGAGGAAAGGAAGTGCTTTCATTGTAAAGATGCTGTAGAAGATGAAAAACACTTCCTTATTAAATGCCCCCTATACTCTAAGATTAGAGATAAATTTATTAAGCAAAATAACATTCACGATTTTATTGCGGAGGAAGAATTTTTTCTAAAATTAATAGATCCTCCAAATAGATTACAAACGCAAGCAGCAAAGTATATTTATGAATGCTTTGCCTTGCGAAGTAAGACAAAATATTGAAATAGTAACTTTTTAAAAAAACAAACATATTTATCTATACACTCCCTTATATATTATTTGGAACCAATGTTTATGTACCCTTGTGTGCAGAACTCCAAATAAAGATTTGTTGTTGTTGTTGTTGTNAACTTTCGGACTTTTCCTAAAATTTATCTGGGCAGATTTTGATGTAATTTTTTTGTTGATAACGTCATCCATGTCGCCATGGCAACCAGTTTTTGACACATGTTAGTTTGAGAAGTAAATGAAGTAAATGTTAGTTTGAGAAGTATTTAAGACATTTTGAGCTGTTTGCCTCAATGCTTAGTTTTTTAATGGCATTTTAGAAAATTCAAGATGGCGGATCCTAAGATGGCGGATATTCTTCTCAAAATTGCTTGTTTCAAATTGTTTAACTTCAAAAACTTCTCAAATTGTAAATTTTACCATAAAAAAAACGATGTAGACAAAAAAAGTGAGATTTGGAGTCAAATTATTCAAAGACGACAAAGACACTACAGGAAACGACTTCATCGCAATTATGACGTCACAACTGTTACCATGGATACAAAACGACACACAACATCACAGGAGAGCAGTAACGCCTAAATATGATTTTTAACTGGTTATCTAGATATAGATATATAATTTATAAAAATTACCTGATATCTATGACTTCATTGTGACGTCATATAGAACAGGGGTCAATTAAAAAATACAAAAATATTATTTTCAAGTCATTTAAATAATAAAAAGATGATATTGCAGCATTCTCTATGGAATTGTAGGCAATTTATTAAAATGAATTATAAATCGTTAAAATGGTGAAAATGACGTCATTATGACGTCACATTTGGTTCCCACGGGTCAAGACTGGGTGTGGTGTTTCGTTTTACGTGGGCGACCATTGTGTGAAAATTTCATGCTCATAGACGTATTGGTTCCGAAGATATTGAGGGGGGGCCGAATGAGCCCCCCCCCAGTCACAGATTGAAAAAAAAAGCCCAGTCTGAATAGGGTTAATAGATCCTCCAAATAGATTACAAACGCAAGCAGCAAAGTATATTTATTAATGCTTTGCCTTGCGAAGGAAGACAAAATATGGAAATAGTAACTTGTAAAAAAAGAAACATATTTATTTATATATTCCCTTATATTGTTTGGAACTAATGTTTATGTACTCTTGTACTCTTGTGTGCAAAACTCTAAATAAAAATTTGTTGTTGTTGTTGTTGTTGTTGTTGTTGTTGTTGCTAGAAACTTAAAGTGGCTCGATTTAAAATTGCGCACGGTTTTTCGTTATATGTCCTCTTATTGACACACTCTTGACGTCATTAAATGTTAAAAACTCAAGTAGACCCACGAGTGCAGCGATTCGTTTGTTGTTTTTTTTACCACATTTTTAGTCTAAAAGTTAGCGAAAGTCATTCTTTTCTTTCAACCTAGATCGCACGCGAGACGTGATGGTGTCAGCACAGTGTGTATGTATTCTTATTGAACACACAATCAGCCAATCAGAGCGCGATAATTTACACAAGTGTGGCAAAAATACTGTCTTGTAAAAATATAACAAAGCGCCTGTTGCAAGGGGTACATGGATGATTACACAGTCTTATCTGAGCACCATATGCGATAAAATTCACTTAGCTGCTTATTGGAATCTGCTTGATTAGGGTTAGTTTTAAAAATTACGAACTTCTACTGGATATGAAAAACAGCTATGGTTCTTACTTTGTCTTTCACATTTCGTTCCAAAAGTATTGGCAAGATAACAGGTACACAG